AGTGCCTGGGACAAGCACTTTTTACTTCCTATAAGAGAGGATGTGATTAAAGCCATGTGAATAAAGGGCTTGTCCCAGAAAATGCTCAGATGCCTGAGACAGGATGCAACCCAGAGATGTTACAAAACAAATCATTGCATTTGCGTAACAATGTGGGCCAGTGGACTGGGGAGCGGGAGACCTGGTTTCAACACTCTGCTCTCCATTGCGTTGCTGGCCAAGTCACTTTGTCACTCTACACCTTGGCTTCTCTGAAAGGGCGATGGTTTTACTCGCATGCCGAGATCTGCCAATGAAAAGCCAGAGAACAGTATTGTTATTATTCATGCAAGAAGATGAGAAGCAAGAAGTGGTAAGGGAGACCTTACAGTGGGCTAACTAAAAATAAAGGGCTAGCTTGAGCCTTTAGATTTAACCTGGAGTAAGGGGCAGCACATAGCTGAGCTGCTCCAGGAAGACTCCATAAACACTGTGCCTCAGTGATCCCCTATGGGACACATTTCTCCTGGAGCTCCTCTTTATGCAGTATCAGTTAATTACTAGATGCAGCATACATACTCCCCGACCACATGCAGCCAATCCACCAACTTCCTCCCCCTTTCTGATGGGGGAGCTGTATCGGACACACAGCCCCTGCTCTTCCCAAGATGTGGGTTCATCCTGCACAGCTGTGTAGGGGGATGCAATCTGACTCCCCTGCATGGCCATGTGCGATCCAGTCAGAATCTAGTTCCAAACCTTCAGACACTCTACAATCCCACTCTTCATCAAGCCAGGGGTTATTTTGTACTTAGTGTAATGATAAGATATGGCTTGAACCTCTTATTTTTAAAACTGTGTCTTCTTGACTATAACAGGGTTCAAAAAAGAACTAGATAAATTCATGGAGGATAGGTCCATCAATGGCTATTAGCCAGGATGGGCAGGGATGGTGTCCCTAGCCTCTGTTTGCCAGAAGCTGGGAATGGGCAACAGGGGATGAATCACTTGATGATTACCTGTTCTGTTTATTCCCTTTGGGGAACCTGGCATTGGCCACTGTCGCAAGACAGGATACTGGGCTAGATGGACCTTTGGTTTGACCCAGTGTGGCCATTCTTATGTTGATCTTACACAATTGCTGTTTTGACAACATGAGCGCCTGCTTATGAACAAGAACTGCACAGCAGGACACCCTAACGTGAAACCAGTATGAGCTTGCTCCAAGCAAAGTGCAGGGCAGTGCTTGGATATAGTCATTTGCCAGTAGGGGATAAAATCCTTGTATTGGAGCCCAAGGTATTGTATTGGAGCACTTGGTGCAATCAGGTTCAACCTACAGGCCAGAAATTTGTTCCTCAGAAGTAGGTTGATCAGGTTAAATATCTAATGCTGGGGACCACCTGCATATCCTTCCATCTCAGATTGCTGTTATCCTACATTCTTTAGGAGCCAGGGACAAAAGTTAGCCTGGCTCAGCGATGGTTTAGAAGCATCCCTGGAGAGGAATGTGTTCCATCAGAGGCAGGAAAATCCCTCTCCTCTGCTCCAGTGAGGAGTAGGGAATTGTCTTTATTTACAGAGGACATTGCCAGAGGCAGGAACCAATGAGCCCAGACTAACTTACACAGAAAAATGTCCAAGAGGCTGCAAATTTATTTAATTAAACTTAACGGTATAACGCCAAAGGGAAGCAACTGGAATTCCTTGGGCCATTGCTCTGTGCACCATACTCTGATGCATCAGACTTGAAGTTGCTTTTTGCCAGAAGGACATCAAGGCCACAGGCCTTTACCAGCTTTCCAATGTGGCCAAACGGCTGAGAGTGCACAAAGTTAACCTAGAGGTCAAATGAATCATTGACTGCGTTTCCCTTTGGATAAGGAAGGTGATGATTTCCCAGTAGGACCATTCTAAGACAGGTTAAGGTCACAAAGGAAATGGCTGGTAGCACCACCACAACTAACTGTTGGTGCATTTTTCCTTTTACAACACAGTACATGTCAAAAGCAGATTTAAAATTATGGTTGTAGAGAAGTGGTGTAGCCCAGAAGATAGGGCACAGAACGTTGGGTGACCTGTGTTCTCTTCCCAGCAAGGCTACTGACTTAATGCACTGCTCTCTATGCCGCAATTCCTCCATCTGCAAAATAGGTCTAGTAATACAATACTTACCCTCCTTTGAAATCCATGAATGAGAAGTGACACATAAATGCAAAGCATATTTATTTATTATCATGTAGCCTTCATGAGATATCCTACAACCATCACAAAACTGCCTAGCACTTGCTTGGCACTATGTAAATATTAAACCCCTCCCACATATATTCAGCAGCTCTTCAATCAACATAGTCCAGTGACACTCCTGCAGCTCCCTATCCAGACCCTTCCCTCCTGCATTGCTGGAGTTTGCATCTCACCAACTGTCCACCCTTTCTCCAGTAACATGGAGCTAACCCTCCCCATACAGCAAGCCTGGACCCTGTGCTGACCACTGTACTCAGTGCATGCGCCCAGCTCACCTGTTTTTCCTCATTCTCATGCTTGGGTTCAGGGACAATGGGAAGACCATTAGCAGGATGCTGAAAATTGCCAGGCCTAGCTATAGGGATGATTTCAAGTCAAAGCTGGTTGCTCACTTGCCTTCCAAGGCTATCCCTGCTCCTCAGAAAGCACTCATCATATTGCAGCTAAGCTGTACTGCTGTTACCGGCTATCACCAGCTTCTTCTTGGCCTTCAGCTCATTCTTCCTAACCAGTTGTATGTCAGGAATAGTGGGCTCTGTAGGAGAAAATGCCCTTTCCATATTTTCCCTTTAAAACTATGGACAAGTAGGAGTCGTGCAATTCATCTGTATAAACAGCAGCTGCTGCAGAAACTTGTGCAACATCCTCCATTGTTGGGGGTTATATATATAATATCTATATGCATACAGCTGAGCTATATTTAAAAAATATATATGCATATTGCTGAGCACCCCACAGGCTGTGGATGGAAAGAGGGTTCCTGTGAAGAGGTATGGCTATGAAAGGGGATGGGATGTCTCTTCTGGTGCACAGCCAACACCCCTACTGCAGGTAGCTGGCTGAGAAGATGCAAACATCTGAGGCTGACCTAGCCCTCTCCCGTGTCTTTCACTTCCTTCCACCTTGCCCACTTGAGAAGTCCCCACACACTCTAATATCTGGGCCACTGCTCTAGACAGCAGCTGAGTATGCCTACCAGTATTGCCAGATTCCTCTGGCTGGTACTGAGTAATCCTTCAGTAAAGGCTGGTCAAAGAAAGGTCTAAGGTTAGCCAATGGCCCTGTGTGCCACAAGTACTGGTTTCCCTTCCCCTCATTGTGGTGAGAGGTGTAGCAGCAGGAAGGGCCTTAGCTTGTATGGTAACAAAACCCACCTCCCTGGGGGCAAGGCTTGCCTCGCCCTTGAGGCAGCCATAGTGGTGGTGTGATGGCCACCATCTTGGCTGACACACCAAGGACTGAACCAGGGGCCTGCAGAACTAAAAGCACAACAGCTTGAGTTTACAAGCCAAGCCGCACCAACTGGGGGCTCTAACAGGCCCCTATCCTGTTGAGAGGGCTCTGAGGGCAACGTGTTACACACTCACCAGTGGGCTACAGTAGCTGAAGCTTAGGTCATAGGAGGCTGCTGCCCAGCTGCAGATAGAGGAGCAGCCACAAGAGTGGGAACCAGAGGCTGGAGGCACTAGGGACATACACTGAAGAAAACTTACTCGTGGTGTGGCCAAAGGCTGAAACAGACTGAGTCAGAGAAGAATGAAGGGTTTCTACAGGGAGAGTGGCTGGAGAAGTGACCTTACCAATCTCATGTAATGGAGCTGAGGAGGGGCTGCATGTTACAGAACAGTGTTGGAAGGAGAAGGACAGTGGGCTGGGTTGCTCAGGGTAAGGGCTGGCAGGATGGAGGCTGTGAGAGGAAGCCTACACAGGGTAGAGTAGCCTCAGCTGTATACGGGCAGGAGTTGGAGGAGGGGCTGCTTCCCCCTCTCTGGTTATTTCTCTCTCTAGGTAGATACAATGCACCCATCCCTGTGATGTCTCAGAGCACTACAGAATGATCGAAAGCCACCCCAGTGATCACCTCAGCTTTGGTGGTGCCACTTTGGTAGGCGCCCAAGACACATGCTTCGGATTGACCAGTGGAAACGCTCTGAACAAGAAGCCAGGGGTTGTTTTTGCAGCTGTTGGGGCACTGCCTGCTTGTGCCAGCAATCCCAGGGTCAGCGCTGTGTTTCTCCTCCACTGTGGCTACTGAGGCACCATCACAACAAAAGGAATATCCCCAGAACTGGGAAATCTCTGCTGCTGGAATAAAGGGCACCTCCTCTCCCCACATACCCCACCTGCTTTCCTGGTTGCGGCATCAAGAGATGGGGGCGGGGGTGTTTCTTACGCGACATCCCTTGTCCTATATGGACCCTGGTAAAAAACAGGGATGTAACAAACCGATAATAACTAAATAAGAATGAACGACTCATAATGGAACCCTACCCAGGCAGCAAACCTAATGCATAAATAAACCAAATTCACCAGCAACTGCCGCAGAGAGGGCAAGAGACGGGGCCATGTACAATAAGGCAGCAGAGGCTCCGCGTCCCCTGTGCTCCCAGCTCCTTTCAGAGCCAGCCCGGCGGTGACCCATGGCTGCTGGGCGAGCCCGAGCGAGACGCTGGCAAAGGCGGATCGCGGGGCACAGGCGCTCCCAGGCTGAGCGTGTGTGTCGCTGCTGGGGAGCGCGCGGCCCCTTTAAGAGCCGACGCTGCCCTACCTTTCCCTTTGTACCTGCTTTTTGAAAGCGCTTTGCAGCCCCCGCATTGGCTGGGGGGAGCCACCGCTTCTCCCCAGTAACTTGACCCGAGGCGCACAGCGAATGCAACCTGAAAAGTCTGGAGCATGGCAAGGTCCCTGCCCCCAGCCTCTGACACCCAATCAGGCTGCGGGGGGCGGTCCCCGCCTCTCTAAGCCGCCGCTCCCCGAGCAAAGGACTGTCTGTATTCGGCAGCAGCCGGGTAAGACGGTGGGGGAAGCCTCTTGTGCAGTGGATCTGTGTTGTGCTTTCTCTCCTTCAGTACTGGAGGGGGCCCCACCTCCGCTCCTCTCCCCTCCCCAGAAGTAGGTGGGACCAGTTCAAGCCCTGTAGCTGAGCTCCTGCTTTCTGATGATTGTGCCATTAGAGGAATGCTCCTTCGCTCACCACCTCTTGTCATGAAATTTTTTACGTGCAGTTTACAAAGGCATTGACATCATCCGGAGAGCAGCCTCGGAATTAACGCCAAACAAACAACCGGAGGGACGGGTTTCTATTTCACATGTTATTCAAAAAACCAGCTACCTAGCTCAGCAGCTGTGGGGTGGACAGGGATCGGATCAGGAGAGCTGGGTCTGCACTGGAGGAATTAATGGTGCCCTTATTATTTTATTTGTACTGTTTATTGGAAATCGATGGGTTTGGGATTTTTGTAGAGGAACAAGTGAAATGAGCAAATCCAAGAAGATTGACCGTTGCTGATTAGCCTCCACTTAGTGTTGTTTTCACCTAGGGTAAGTTGATTGATTCACTTTGGAGACTTAATTAAAAGCATTCTAAAGCTTTGAATCGGATCTCCCCCTTTTTTGGTTTTTGTTATGGGGGACAAATCTTTCAAGGTGAATTTGCTGTTTTTTTTCTTGCCCCATCCGCTCTGAAGAACTACAATTTTCTCCCTGCCCAACATGTTACAGTAAATTTTAGTTCTAGAAAACACTGTTTATTATTATTATTTAAAAGAAACAGTATCTAGACTCAAATATGGCAAAAAATTATGTGGAAGGGTCTAAGGAAGACCTGAGCAAAATTTCAGAAGAGGAGATGATGAGATGGAGCAAGGAAGAGCTGGTGAAAAGACTGAGGAAAGTAGAAAATGAAAAAATGAACTTAATGGTGGAACATGGCAACTTAATGAAGGATGTAAACAGGAGGCTCCAGGTTCATCTGCATGAGATCAGGGGGCTGAAGGAGGTGAATCAGAAATTACAAGATGATAATCAGGAACTGAGAGAGCTCTGCTGCTTCTTGGATGATGATCGGCAGAAAGGCAAAAAGCTGTCCAGGGAATGGCAAAGGTTTGGGAGGCACACGGCCAGTGTGATGTGGAAAGAAGTTGGGATGTATCAACAGAAGCTGAAGGAGCTAGAGGCAAAGCAGGAGTCCCTCATGAGGGAGAACATGGAGCTGAAGGAGATAGTCCTCATGCTAGATGAAGAGAGAAATGGAGCTGGCTCTAGGAGCTCTATAGACAGCCAAGCCAGTTTGACCAATTTGAATGGGAGCTCTGGGGCCAGGGATGTGGGGGATGGTAGTAGCACCTCCAGCACTGGGAGCGCAGGGAGCCCAGATCATCATCACCATCACCTCCATCATCACAAACCTGTCGAGAATAAGGCTGGAGCAATAAGGAGATCTATGGATGACTTGTCTGTACCCGTTCACCACAGGAGTATCCCCAATGGTCTCAATGGTAAGTCTGTTCCCCCACTTCCTCCCTCTCTCTAGTTCTGTTTGAGGAAGTGCTGTCTAGTGGTTACACAATTGAGGTGAGGTGACATGGGGGCTGTGCTTAGCTCTGCCACAGATTTCCGGTTTGAACTTGGGCAAGTCACTTTAACCACTCTGCCTCCACTTTGCCCCCTGTGCAACGGAGATGTCTGTCTCAAGGAGGTGCTGTGAGGGTTAGTGCATTGACCTTTGGACAGTGCATGTATCCGGAAGAGTCCATGGGAATGCATGTTATCATTTATTGTAAGGAGTAGTAATTGTATGATAGGAAATACAGCAGGTGACCATCTGGGAAATGGGAAATGCACCCTGTGCATTTCTCTGTGATTTTATTAAACCTCTTAATCTGATAACTAGTTCGTAGTGGAGCTGTTCTGATGTAGTTATACTATTGTTAAATGCTCATCAGATGCATTATTAATGGAGGGGCTGTGAGATGGTCTTTTATTTTTTGTTTTAAGTCCTGGCAGGCAAACTGACTATATGTTTTCTGAATTAAATAACATTGATTTTCCTGTTAGTGTTTTGTTTTATCTTAGCTGCTTGCCTGATAGTTTCATGAGCTTGATAAAAGTATAGTTGGGATGTTGGAATTATTACAATCTTCATCTGCCAAATAATGGATAAAAGCATCACCTGTTAACTACATGGGGCTTTCACTGGCAGACTGTCTGAAACTGAGCAATGCCCAGTAGCTAAAGACTGTGTTCAATGTATAGGAATTAGCTTAACTTTTTTGCTTCCTCCCCTTCCTCTTCTGAAATAATCAGAGAGGCAGGGATCATTCTATAACTGAATCTGTACTTATACTTTATACAACGTGTGGTCACAATTAGAAAAATCCCAATATGGAATGATGACAGGCCTCATCCTGTTCTTCTCAGGCAGGCAAAGTTGAGTCTATATTGAGCTGGCTTTAAAATAATACTAATATTGATAATAATAATATTACTAGCATATCCCGAGAATGTCCTTAAAATCCAGATTTGTGGGGAAAGAAGCCTGGGATGCAAAAGGATTTCAAATTAGACAGGAAGAACTTCTAAAGGGTGCAATTCTGATGAGAAGAACCAACAGGAAGCAACCTGGGCTCATACATGACAGCTAGAGTTTCAGCTTCTTCAAGCCCTTTCCACCAGAATGTCCAAATCAGATTGGAATATTCTGTGGTAAATGGGATATAAACTACAGCATCCTCCTTTTCCAAGCTTAGAAACTGCACCCTCAGCACCGCCAGCTTGCAACAGCAAGGACTGAGTGGAATGTCAGAAGGGAGGAGCGGGGGAGTTGGTTTTTCTGAATGATGTGCTCAACTTGTCATGTTCCAAATGTGAGAATGTTACACTTACAAAGGGGTAGATTTAGTTCATCCCCTCCAATGGGAGAACCACAGGATGGGGCAGATAAGGGACTGCCAAGTCACCCTAATACTGAAGGAGTTCTAGGAATGATGGAGGGAGCAGAGGCCATGGCAAGGTCCTGGTGTTCTATGGGTAAGCCTCAGGGCCACTGAGAATGTGAGTGGGACTCACTCAGCACTTATTAGCCCAATCCTGAAGAGTGTTATCCTTCACTAACTTGCCATGCTCTGAGTTCCCTTGCAATAGCTGCCTTTTCCCTACAATAGTTGAACACATTACACCCATTTAACTCAGGGAAGGAATGCTGGTTTAGAGGCTGGTACTGTCCTCAGATGTTGCAGGACATAGTATCTTAAACGTAATTTGCTTCTCACGCTACTCTGCCATCTCATGAATTTTAAGCAGCATTTTAAAATGTCTTCAAAGCAGAATTGTAGATCTTATTTTATAAAGCTTTGCTGTTTGCATTTCAGATGCTTTGCCTTGATGTGTATTGTGCAAAAAAAGCATTTTAATTCTAAATTCTTTCTTTGTGGGAGGAGGGTCACAAAGTCTTTTTGATATACTGGGTCAAGTTCCTCCTAGATGTCACTCCACTAATTTCAGTAGAGTGACACCAGGGCTGAGTTTAGCCCATTTATGGTAACCAGATGTTTTCATGAACTGGATTGTTTGCTAACGCAAAGCATAAAAAAAGGCCCTGATGCCATGGTGATGGGTGCCATAGAGAAACATTAGATAGAATTCAGTTGCCTCCCTCTGCTTACACAAGAAAAGGAAAGTCTGCAACTGCAGGGCCGAGTTGGGCATGGAAGTAGGGAGTGCTGCCTCTGCATGCCAGCCTCTCCAACCCTCCCCTCTGTAAGCTTCCCTCTAAGCTTCACCACTAGTATCCAGTGCTATGGGATGCATGAGCCAGAGCTGCTAGATCAGGGGGTTTCAGCCTTTTTTTCGTTTGTGGACCCCTAAAAAATTTCGAATGGAGGTGTTGACCACTTTGGAAATTGTAGACATAATCTGCAGACCCTCAGGGGTCAGTGGATCACAGATTGAAAACCACGGTTCTATGGTAACAACTACCTTTTGCGGACCCCTTAGACATAGTCAGCGGACGCCCAGGGGTCTGCGGACCACAGGTTGAAAACCACTGTGCTAGATTCTCCACTCTCCGGGGTCATTGACACAAGTTATGGCAGCTTGTGTGATAACTTGCCTAGTTTCTCACTCTGCGCTGGGCAACCGCTCCCCCTGCACTACATATGCTGCCTCACCCCCCTCCTTTTGATGCTGGTAGCTGGGGAAACCAGGTAGCCCTGCACATTCCATGAAGTCCAAGATCTGTAAAGAGGTGAGTGCCTTGCGGTGTAGAAGCAAGGAGACACTGCATAGATACCGTTTACTTCCAGAGGTTCTCTCAGGATATTTGGTATTGGGCAGGGTGAGGAAAGTCTGGGTTCAGAGGATGTAGCCCTTGAGCTCTTTCCTGTGGGGTGTGTATGTGGAACTTTGCCCTGATGGGATAAATCCAAGAAAACTCTGTGTTTAAACTCAGTTTCCATTTCTCTGAGTGGAAATAACCCATGTAGAGGAGAAGGGAGTATTAGGTTTGGTTGTGTAGGATGGGGGGGCGGCCTGGCTTGGGTTTTTGTGTAGGAAGGAGCAATGTGGACTTAGGGAAAACTTTTCAGAAGTGGTGACAGGTTTAGGTTCCTCTGTTTAATGGATGCCCAACTTGAAACACTTAGGATGGTCTCTTTGGGAAATGTTGACACTGACTCTTTACCATGAACTTGTATAGTTTCATGTCTGCTGGTGTGCAGATATAATCTACACTCTGTAATAATTCATGTATGGATGCCAGTAAACCTGATCTGGTGAGTTAGGTAGTGAAGCTGTAAAATGACTTGCATAGTTGTCATTCTCCGATGGCATCGGTATTCAGCAGAGGCCCTGTGCCTTTGGAAAAGCTTGTGAATACATATGCAAATGCAGCTTCTTATCTGGCTACTTTTGATTGGCAGCAAGAAGTCTGGCACTGAGGCACACTCAGGACGGTGTGCTGCAATTCTGGTAAGGCTGCTGCAATGTGGAAAAGCGAGACAGGTGAACATAAAGAATGCAGAAAGTCGAGTGAGTCTGTGGTTGAGCTGAGACTGAAACAGTCTGCATCATGGATTCCGTCCATTTGTTCTGCTTGGTGATTCTTGTGCCGGAAGCACAAGAAGGTGGAATTCAAATTTCTTTACATTTTTGGATTGATTTATCTCCCTTGAATAAAAAGAAAGGGGAAATTTTGAGGGTCTTGTTGCAGAGAAGCACTGGTGCTAGGTTTTAATTTTTTGTGGCATTAGGCAAACTAAAAAATGCCCAGGCTGCCCATCCCCTAGCTACTCAGACAGAAAACAGTCCCTACATGGTTTCTTAGCTCTCAGAGCCTAAGATAGGACGTGGAGTAAGAGTACTCAGGTTTTGCTTGGGGATCATGCTTTCCTATGTATTAAGCAGAATGATTTCAGTTGGATAGTGGTTTTGTGAAAGAGTCAAGCACTTGGAGGCCATTCAAGTCATCTCTCACACGACAAATTAGATTTGAAGGAGGTCTGTACAAGAGAACAGAGTTTAAACCACAGCCTTGCTTTCCCTTTCCCCTATGAGCCTATGGAAGTGGGACTGAGCACAAGAGCCTAATCTAGCATCCACTGTCCATCCTCCTGTTGACTTCAGTGGCCTGAGGATCAGGCCCAAGGTGAGAAGATGTACATGAAATGATAGATTCGCCAGGTAAATTCAGGCTAATTTTAGTAGCCATGATAAAGAACATTGTCCCACTTTCCCTTGTCTTACCTCTCATTCTCTTTCCTTTAAAGTATATCAGTTCTGCGATGCAAGGGGATCTTAGTAGGCCTTTTATCAGAGAAGTTTCCAGAGCTCCGTGACTAACTACTGACAACAGCAGTAATCATGGTATTAAAGATAAGTGATGACCCCAAATTTACTAGAACAGTGTATAAATTGGATAACAGAATTTATGTTTATGTTTTACAGAATATCCAGAGACATGTCTCTGGATATTCTGTAAAAAGCCAGGTAGAAATCTGTCTGGCCTTACAAGCTGCTTGCGTGTGCTTGTTAACTGTAAGGTATGTGGGAAATTAGACTCTCAGGGACTGATCCAAAGACTGCTGAAGTCAAAGGGAGTATTTCTATTGACTTTTGCGGACTCTAGATCTGACCCTTATTACTGTTATCCAATAACGGTTGAAAGCATAAGACAATTGGCTTCCATAGGATTTGTGTGCACCTCTTGGACTCTGCACAGCTGATAATATGAGGCAAATGTGACACTGGTGCCGGTATGGAACAATTCCACCCATTGGTGACCAATCACCAGTGTAGCTGCAATGGTGTAAACCACTAGTGAAGACAAGGGCGGCTGTGATTTTCACCAGTCCAGTTTAACTCTGCTTGAAATAAGGGTAAATGCAAATTGTGGCTTTCCTTTCCACACTAGAGGTTTGTATTGGTGCAAACACACTAGCAATTGATGGATGAGATGGAGACAAAATCCCAGTGCATACAAGGCTTGAGGGCTTTTCATTTT